TAGGACTGCACATCGACTGCAGTACTTTAATACAAACTTAACAGACATCATAACAGAATGAACGTTAACATCACTGCAGGATGCAACCAACATTCCGAGGAGGGGGCTCGTCTGGATTTAGGGTACTTGACCAAACACGATTGGCGTTGATGGCGCTCTGGGGATGGCGCTCCGCCGAAAAATTATCAATCTTTTGCTGAATTGGCCAAAAATCTTAAAAAATAGAGGTAAAAAAGATTGGCTCCGTTGGGGGTCGAAACAACGGCGCATACCTGTGCATTTCAACTATGGAGTACCCCCCTCCATTTCCTTGGATGACCGCCATTCACTGCTCAACAAGTGGGTTATATGACGAGTCGATGACCCCACAATACTCAATTTCTTAAAGCTTAGGGAAAAAAATACATAATAATATACAATTTGAGAAATTAATATCATTTTTATCAAGTGAACTTCTTTATTAATCAATTTTATGACGTTATATAAATATTATCGGATTGCTGAACGGTGGTAACCTCCAAGTGAACTTTTCTGAATTTGATCACGTGGCATCGCCCATGTAAGCGGTGTTGTGTACTATTCCAGTCGTTCAGACTGCACAAGTCAGTTGAAACCAGGCCATTGTGAAATGAGCGCTACATCATGTAGACTGTCGGTTACCATTATGAAGCATGATTTGATTTGCACAGACTGGCATCCTATGCACAAGAACGAAATGGTGAATGGTGGAGATGGTAATAGGGACGCTGTTATTACTGAAAGAGAGAGGCGGCCATCGGGTAGCTGTTTGAAAAGTCCTGCACAAACACCACCCGGCACACCAACAGACAAGAAACAGGTACACTTTGCTGATGAAGTTGAGATGGAAATGGAAAAAGTGCAGTTGCAAGATGGCGTTCGAAACAGCTTTTGTCGCCAAGCGCCCCATCCTAGGGAGAACTCGCCAGATGCACAAGACGAATACAGATATCTCGCTGTTTGCTTCCCTCAGCCTGGATATTCGTCGAATTATTTAAAACTAGTGAGAGAAAAGAAAGTATATTTAGAAACCCTAGTCGTTGCCGAGGACATGGCAGTGTTAGGAAAAGTACGGGTTGAAAATATATCTTACCAAAAAAATGTTATTGTTCGTTTTACTACCAACGACTGGAAAAAATATTACGATATTCCCGGAGCCTATGTGCAGAACTCTAGTGACGGAACTACTGATCAGTTTTCGTTCACTATCTCCCTACCAAAGACCTTCTCCGCTGGATCATATTTTCAATTTGCTGTGTGTTACAAGGTGTGTGGACACGAATACTGGGACAATAACCATGGTTCAAATTACATTGTGGCATGTTACGCTAAAACGTCATCGCCCACTAACAATCATCGTGATCATAATTGGTCTCACCATTTTGTTTGAATTTCTCCTGGTTGGGGCGGATCATTTGAAATTATGTAGTGTTTATTCACTTACTTCAATGCCACACAGCTGTGGCCCGATTGGCATTAATATTATATTTACAAGTATTTTACATTTTTACATTACATTTCTGTTATTAATGAGTTGGTGATTTTTTCCGAATACTTAAAGCGGGAGGGTCATCACCTGCGCACGCGCGGGAATTGAGTCCCGAGCGACGATAACAAGACACACTAAAAACGCGAAGGCTCATGGGTAGACGCTTGTTTATAAATAATGACACGTTATGGCCATCTGATGCATGCGTAGGTGACGACTGTCCGAATAGAAAAAATATATAATGTTCGATTTAAATTGACCAAGTTGTTAATTTAGCTGTAGCTTTTCCTCATTTCATTTAACGAAATATATTTCGGCAGCTTGTAGGTATGTACTGGTACCCAGAATATTCATCGTGAGACGAAAATATGATTGTGGGCGGAAATAGAACTGTTTACAACTGTACTTATATATCTTGAATTTCCAAGGTTCAAAGTCCAGAGAGTGACAATCGAATATGGCGCCGTCTAAGCTACCCCAGACCATTCGTCCCGGTGTTATCGCTATCGCCACACGAGACTCCAGCTTGTCTCCTATACAATTTTCCTTCCGCCCACTTAATTTTAATATTCATATGACCTTTGCACTGACATCGATAGCCAATCGCATTCGACCGCGGACGTCACTCTAAATAAACAACTGAATAAATTAATATACCATATTTGGAAGATAGCGGGTAAATTCAACGTTGTTGGTGTGTTCCTTCGGGTTCCGAAGTCGCACGAAACGAGTTCATGTTCCGTTATCTTTCGCAAGTAAAACAGGTCGATATGTATTAAACATGGCATTTGTTTTCTTGTTTTAACCCCCTTATTACGCAAGCTTCCGTCGAAGTGGTGTTTTTTTCGACGATTTGTGGCATGTTGCAAAACGAACGAAATATTGCGGCATTCTTAGCGGTGGATAAAGGGATCGACTATGTCGTCACATTTATGTCTCGTTTGAAAGAGAATAAACAACCGCTCAGAAAAATATGTTGCTAATATTTAAGTGCGGTGCCTTGAAATCGCCTGCCCGACGTCCAAATTTCAAAGGATGTTCGATTTGCAATGACGACCGTTCATATGTACTAGCGATGTACTATTACTA